TGTCTCCCTCTCTCTCTGACCCTCCCCTGCTCACATTGTCTCTTTCTCTCTCTCAGAAATAAATAAAACATTACAAAAATTTTTTTAAAAAAGTCAGCTGGTTAGCGGAGATACTTTTTCTCTGGCATTAGGGGTGTGGGAGGAGTAGGCCTGGGTGGTCAGAGTCCAGTTTCAGGTACAACTCACTCATCTCTGCTTCTTCCCCACCTTTCCCACCTTTCATGTTGCTTTGGGCCTTTTCCCCCCAAGACGGGCCTCACGGCCGAGGAGCTAAAATCCCTGGACGACGTCTTCACCAAAGTGTACAAAGCCAAATACCCCATCGTTGGCTACACGGCCCGGAGGATACTCAACGAGGATGGCAGCCCCAACCTGGACTTCAAGCCCGAAGACCAGCCCCATTTTGACATAAAAGACGAGTTCTGATGCTCCAGACACAGACAGACACCCCCCCTCCACCTCCCCCAGGTGCCAAATCTCCTGCAAAATAGGCCGCCTGAGCCTCTGGTGCCCGGACCTGAATAAAGCAGGCGTTGAACCCAGAATGCTGGGTGCTTGTTATTGTCCGTGGTCAAGTGTTCTGTCCACGTGCCGTCTGCCCCCACACCAGCCGGGGTGGGAAGAGCGGCCGAAGGGGGCGCCCTCCCAGTGCCCGTGTTGGCTGTCTGGGCGGCGGAATTACTGGTGACTTAATTTCTTCTTTAAATGTATATTTTCCTGTACGTGCCAAGTTTTCTACTGTGGCCACATTGGCTTTAGAATAAGCACAAAAATAAACTTCGTGTTTTCACAAGAGGAGACTTCTTCCACACAGCCCTCTCCTTGACTCCGCCTCTGCACCGCTCGAAGGGGCGGCCTTGTACCTTCTTTTCACGGTCATACCCTCTGTGTCCCCCGCCCGTGAGGCAGGGGGAATGGCAGGAACTGGGAAGACTGGCGGGAGCGGTGGGGACGGTAAAGGGAGATGTTGAAGGGTCTGGCTTCACACTACACCCAGGAGAGAGTGACCGTGTGAATTGGCTTCAGCCCCAACTGTAGCTGGAAAGCGGTGAGGAGGCTGAGGGCCTCGTGGCCAGAGCCTGGCCTGGAGGGCGTCCCAAGCACGGGGAAGCAAAGAACATGCTAGACTCAGGTCAGATTTCTAAGGATGTCGTCCCTTTTGAGGGAGGGACTTTTCTCTCTAAGGGACTTTGGCAGTGTTTGAAGTTATATTTTTAATTGTCACATCTGTAGGATTCTGCTGGTATCTCGTGTCCAAAGATGTCAACCATCCTGCAGTGCACAGGGAAACCCTCGCTTCCCGGACAAAGAATGATCTGGTCCACGATGTCCAATGTGCCAAGGCTGAGAAACTCTGTGTTAGATTCATCCTGGAAATCTTACATTAGAGATGAATTTCTTCATCTCTAGTAGTAAATAGCAACTACTCCCAAGAGAATTTTTACACTAAGCGGAAGAGTCTCCTAAGATGACTGTTCAAAATGCTTGTTCTGGGGGGTGCCTGGGTGGCTTAGTCGGTTAAGTGTCCGACTTTCGTTTAGGTCATGATCTCGCGGTTCGTGGGTTCGAGCCCCGCGTCGGGCTCTGTGCTGACTGCCAGCTCAGAGCCTGGAGCCTGTTTCAGTCTGTGACTCCTTCTCTCTCTGACCCTCCCCTGCTTACACTGTCTCTCTCTCTCTCCTAGAAATAAATAAAAATATTAAACAAAACAAAACAAAACAAAATGCTTGTTCTGGGTCCCACCACCAGGGCTCATGGTTCTGTATTCCTAGAACATGGCCTGGGCACTGAATTGTTTTTTTTAATGTTTGTTTATTTTTGAGAGAGAGAGAGCACAAGTAGGTGAGGGCAGAGAGAGAGGGAGACACAGAATTGGAAGCAGGCTTTAGGCTCTGAGCTGTCAGCACAGCTTAAACCCTATGCGGGGCTCAAACCCAGGAGCCACAAGATCATGACCCAAGCGGAAGTCAGATACTTAACTGACTGAGCCACCCAGGAGCCCCTGGGCACTGAAATTTTTTTTTTTTAATGTTTTATTTATTTCAGAGAGAATGAGAGAGACGGAATGAGCAGGGGAGGGTTAGAGAGAGAGGGAGACACAGAATCTGAAACAGTCTCCAGGCTCTGAGCTGTCAGTCAGCCCAGAGCCCGACGTGGGACTCCAACCCACGAACCGTGAGATTATGACCTGAGCCTAAGTCGGACGCTCAACTGACTAAGCCACCCAGGCACCCCTGGGCACTGAATTTTTAATAAGCCTCCTCAGAAGTCAGTGGTACAGATGGGCCAGATGTAGTGTGAGAAACACTACCTTCTGCCTCACCTGTCACCTCAGGGAGAACCCACGAGAGCCTTTCTGAAGACCAGGTTTGACCTTTGCTTTATTCTTTTGTGTGTCCAGACTCGAGATTCTCTGGGTGAACTCCTGGGTCCCACTCTGAAGCTGGGAGCTTGGTGGCCACCCACCGGAGAATAATGGGCCTAGAAGTTATCAGACAGGACTCTTTGGCCTTTAATTTAGAAAGTCCTTCGTGTGGCCAAGGTCTGTACGGGGACATGTGGTCCAAAAACAAGTGATGTATGAACACAGACAAATGGTTACAAGTCCTTGGAAACACCTGAGAGGCGACTTCTTTTCCTTACATGCCATCCACTTCACACATCATCAGGGGTAGGGTTCCATTCCTTACAGCCTTGTCTGCAGCGTGGGGAAGGGCTCCAAATTCAGTTTGCTGGGAACTTTCCAGGACCCCCACTCCCATCGCTTCACCTTCCCCAGACCCCCACTAAAGAGCAGTTTTCCCTCAGGGCCTCAGGCTCCTCTATCCTGGGGCAGTTCTGCCCACGTCGAGGTGGTACACCCCCAGCAAGGGTCTCCCCTGAATCCGAGTGCCTTTCACTTAGAGATTCCGGGACGGAGCACACGGAAACCTGGGCAGCCCCGGCAGGCTCCACACAGGTGGGTGCAGCTCGGGGGAGGGAAACAGGCTGGCCTGGGGAGCAGCACCATCGCGTGTCTGCTGTTCTGTTTACCCCTTCTGCCATGCTGGTTTGTCATGTTTTCTTTGCTTTCTTTTTTTCTTTAAAAAATTTTAAAGTATTTACTTATCTATTTTTGAGAGACAGAGAGAGAGGAACAGAGAATCCCAAGCAGGTCCTGCACTGTCAGCACAGAGCCCAATATGAGGCTTAAACTCACACACCGTGAGATCATGACTCAAGCCAAAACCAAGAGTTGGATGCTTAACCAACTGAGCCACCCAGGTGCCCCTGTTTTTTTTTTTTTTTTTTTTTTTTTTTTTTTTTTTTTTTTTTTTTTTTTTTTTTTTTTGCTTTCAAGCCTTATATCCTTAAAAGACTCCATCTAGACACATCTCCTCTGGGGTCCCCTAGAGCTTAGCACTCACCTGTGTGGCTATAATTGCCTACATATGAGCCCATCTGCCCCCAGTGAGAGCCTTGAGGGTCCAGCACAGACCCTCCTTGAGGTGGCCAACCCTCCTGGACTTTGCAGCTTTTGCATGGAAAGCCCCAGAATCCAGGAAACTCCTCAGTCCAGAGCAAACGCGAGGGACTGTATTTAGCTGCTGAGGCCAGGCCTCCTCCCAGCAGACTTGGGATGAAGAAGGAAGAAAGGAGCTAAAGGAACTAAAGGGTCTCTTAACCCAGGAGAAGAGAAGGCTGAAGCAAAGGCAGCAGGAGGAGAGTGGAAAGGGGTTGGGTTCTCATCCATTCCCCATTCAAGTTCTAGTTCAGCCTCTCAGAGCGGAAGCTCCATGCCTGGTCTACAGTAGGCCCCCTGCATCTGTTGACATTGACATAATTGGTGAATTCCTTTCCTAAATGGAAGTTCCTTCCCGAGGCGCAGTCCCTCCACTGCCTCTCATGGGGGGACGGAGAGGCTGCTCCTCTCTGCACCCAGGCACCCAGAGCGCTGGTCCTTCCCTCCCTCTCTGTGCTCCAGGGCCTGCCGCTGTTTGGGACCTTCCTCCCTGGCAGGTGGCGCACACCAGCTCCCTTGCATAACAGGGAACAAGTGGCTTAAAGGCTTAATGGCAGGGAACAAGGGCCCGAGGCAAGGAGCCCTGTTCTCCATTTGGAAAATAAGACCACTAAGTATTGAATGTTCCAGAGCAGTGAGTACTGGCGCTGACCAGCAACCCAGGTCCTTAGAGGTGAGGTCAGACAGAGAGCATCTCTCCCCAGGTCCCAGCCTGACCCTGAACAGGCCTTCTTTACACACCTGCTCCAGGGGGTCTCCTCACCACATCATTAGGTTCCAGGAGAAAAAAGGCTAAGGGTCTGAATGAAGCAACCTCACCCTCTGCACTGGCTTCCTTCAAAAAGCTGTTTCTCAAAGCCTTGGTCTCTAAAAAGCACGGCCTGCTGGGACACCGTCAGTTCCTGAGACGCTTCTGCAAGGGGCTGAAGCTGGAAACCCGTGCCCAGAGCCCAGTCTCCATGGCGCAGTGGGTGCCCTGTCCCGGCCCCCTCCCTAGGGAGGGCTGTGATTGGGGTCACCTACAGGCGAGGTAGTGGCTCTGAGGACACAGGGCCTGGTTTGCACAGGCCTTTCCAGAGAGGCGAGGCAGGCTGTCTCCTAGCGGTGGGGAAACTGACCAGGCAGAGGTTGACCCTGCAGGCCTCGGTTCAGGACATCGTGTGGAAGTACCGCCTGCCGGGCTATTTAACACCAGGATGTGTCGCTCACCTTTTATGCTCCAGTTCTCAGCCTGTCAGCCCAGCACACGTGGTGTAATCTCTCAGCGCCAGGATCAGCATCTTCGCTGGGTTCCTTTGCCAAGCAAGCTGTCTAAGCCGGTCTAGGGCATTCCATCTGGCAAGCACCAGCGGGGAGAGCATCCCTCTCCGAAAACATAGGGGCTGGAGTCAGCAGGCCCCTCCCACACCCTGCGGCTCTCAGGTGGTGCTGGGCCCCAGCAGCTCGCAGTGGCCAATCAGCTCAGTAGCACTCCCCAGAGCCACTCCCCCGACTCTGATCCCCTTAGCCTGATCCCATGGATCATTTCCCAGATGTGTGTCCCTGCACAGGACGGGTAGAACCCAGGGTAAGACCCTGCTCAGACACCAACACAACTGCCCTATGTCAACCTCAGGTTTACTAGTAACACCTCACACATGAAAGCACTTTACAAAGTCTGCTTCCGTGATGATATCAGTGGAAGTAATTACCCCGAGAACTTACTGGTGTGAAACAGCTATTCCTCTGTGGGTCAGTAACTCTGAGAGGGCGCAGTGGGAATGTGTGTCCATCCCTGCTGTCTGGGGCCTCTGCTGGAATGATGAAGGCTGGCTCACTCACATTTCTGGCAGGTAGGGCTGGCTCTTGGCAGGGAGCTCAGTTCCTCTCCACGCATGACTTCTCATGGTCCACAGCTGGGCTGTGCCTCGTTTTATGACCCCACATCTAGCATCAGGCAGTGTTACTGCTACTCATCATGGCAGCCACAATGTCTCGCCCAGAATCAAGGGGCACCAGGCCAATTTGGGAAAATAAAATCTGCCACAGGTCCTTTGCACATGATCTCTCCCAATTCTTACCAAAGAGACTACATCTTGTCTTTGGGTTTCCGTGCTTAGCTTAATGCCTGGCACACAGCAGGCATGCAGCAGATTGCATTTGTTTTGTGGAAAGAGACAGGGTTTAGGGTCAGACTGACTTGGGTGTGACTCCTGGTTTCATTGCTTACCACCTCTATAATCCTGGACAAGTTATTTAGCTTCTCAGAGCCTCAGTTTCCTTATCTTTAAAATGTGAGCCGAAATGCCCATTTCAC